CAAAGTCCAATAACTTGTCTAGTGTCCGATAACAGTTTGTCGTTTAAAATCAAGAAGGTTTTGATGGAGGAATGCCTGCAAAACAGCTGGCCCCTTATTTTAATCCATCACCCTACCAAGTAAGCTTTAGTAATAAATAAACAACACAATGTAAAGATTCAATTTTTGTACGTATATCTTAATGATAACTTGCTTTCCTTGTTGTATTTGCATTTGGATCTTCCATGAATCCGCCATTGATAATCTGATGATGATTCAAAGGAGAAATTTCTGGGTTTTTTAGGGAATGAATCAATGAAACTGATCCGACATTCAAACGTTAAATGATGTGTTTTTTCGTTTCAGTTCTTTTCATTAACAGAAAGTGGCTTAATGGTTTCATACTCAGTTCGATTGTATTTAATTGGCAGTATATGATTAGGACACTTGTTTGGATGGTTTGTTGTGCTGCAAAAATAAGCTAAGATGTTCTTTAAGACTGCCGGAACAGAGGAGTTAGATGCATTCTATCCGATTAGACCGGAATGCGTAGCCGATGTCCCTAAGACCCGATCTCGGCCGAGGGTATGCCTAGCTTTTTTTCTAAAAAGTATACCATTTTATCGGTTATGCACTTGCAATATCTGATCTATTTTGTTCAGGCAAGGAAAACTCTCGGCACAAGACGATAGCATGCTGCATTCTCTGAAGATGGTCACCTCGATATCGCTAAAATTCTTCGACGAATCCAACTAGGGGTATGCTTCTTTCCCTTCTCGACTATATAACATTTTGGTGTGGTTTGCATATGCTCAAACGTTAAACTACTTTTTTTTTTGGGTAGGGTATTCACCCTTCAATCAAGGGGGTTGTCTGGGAGTTCCTGTTAGGTTGTTTTGATCCCGAGAGTAGCTTCGACGATCGGAATCAACTTAGACAGGAAAGGAGGTGACAATTTCTTTTAGCATCGGCAGTCTGTTAATCAAGGTCATGTTGTTTTTGAAGATGCATTTAGGCAGTTATCCATATTCTGTCATCTGTGTTTTAGTTTTCCAAATTCGGACATTGTGACAATTCATCACACTAAGCATCACAGGGAGCGTTACGGCACTTGGAAGACTGAATGCCAAAATATGGTGCCCATCATCGGGAGTGGAAAGTTCATTACGACACCAATCATCATTCATCACCTATGATGGCCAACCGATTGAAGTTGAAGGTTTCCCCATGATAACTTCTGTTTCAGACAGCGATTCAGTGGATGCTTTTCTTGCATCAAATCGGTATGTATGGTGCACCGTTTCATGCTCAGCTAATTCGATTTTCCATACACTTATGCTGGCTTTTGAGTTGCCATTTAAGATACAATTTTTATGGTCTGCATTTGAGGCTTTAGATCAACAGTTCTAAATCTATTGCAGGTTTGGATGTTGTTTGAGCCGATCGAACACTTGCCTTTTATGAGAGCAAAACGAATCAAGCAAAACTTTGGGATATTCTTGCTGCATATTCATGGATGGATGATGATATCGGTTATGTGCAGGGTGAGTCGATAGTATTATTCATTACCAAGCTGAAGTTCCATTGTTCTCCGACGATTTTTCGGTGCATTCTTTGGCAAGCAGGAATGAATGACAAGTGTTCTAGAGACCAAGAATAAGCAGATTCTAAAGGACGCCAAGGGCATAGACGACGTCCTCAGCGTACTATCTTGTTCTCTCCCCCCTCGTGTGCGTCAAATTCCGTACATTAACGCATCGTATCTTTGATTGTAAACGTCATTTCACCAGATAATCGGCGATATCATTGGAAACTTGGATGCCAAGAAAGCATGTGAAAACGCATTGAAGATTCAAAACAAGTAGTTGAAAAAGGTATGACAATAAGCTTTATCTATATCAAAATACTTCTTTAAATGGATGGACTGATTGCAAATGTATGGTGTTTTTTTTTAACGTGCAGGCCAAGAAATCATAGTTACAGACATCAAACATGTCAAATTCTATAATTTAAACCTTTGTCGCCATTTATTTTTCTTTCTTTTTGGATATTTTTCATGTATTTTTTATTTTATTTATTTTCAAGTTTCTTTGTTCATATCTACATTTATCCATGCTATTTTGACAACTTGAAATTCTTTTATGTATAAATGGAATTTTACCCTTATTTTGTTTTGGAATCTAACATGTCTAATTGAATCAAAGGGATTTATATTTAATAAATTATTATTTATTAAAAATTATTGATAAATATATAATATTATTTTTAAAATAATCAATATTTTATTATATATTATTATATTGTTTTTATTAATTACAATTTAAACTCTACAAAATATGTTGTCAATATAATTAGATTTGGCTCACTCGAATTCTTATTCATTTTTGTTGTCTTTAATTTTTCACTAATAATATAATCTTAAATAGATTTATTGTTAGATTCTAATCAAATGTTTGACTTGGATCAACGGTTGAAGCTCCCAAATATCTCTCATGTATCCTAGGTTTCATCTCTCTTGGCGCCAACTATAGTTTCACATTTTTTTACCAATAAAATGGGTGTTTACAAAATAGAATATGTTTAGAAATTTTTTAATCATTGATAACGCACACATATCCTGCAGACACAGCTGTTCAGACTTAAGATTTCTAGGAAAAATAATATTTCTCTTAATCATTAAAATCACTTGATGGGTTTAAAATAAATTAAATTAAGAGAAAAATTAAAAGAAAATATTTTAAGTGATACGATTTGATTGGATAGCTAAATTTATTGATTTAAATAAAAAATAAGAATAAAATTAAATAAAATACATAAGTAATAAGAATAAAAAATATAATTATACAAATTTACTTAACTATCGTATCATTATTTTCTTTCAATATTAATGGTTGATACTTGATTAATATCAATTTAATAATTATCCTATAGTTTAGTGACCATTAAGATACCTTACCCTTATTTTATTTAACTTCTTTATGTGGACGAGTATGGTAGGGCCACTGTTGAAACGGCTGGAGAATTAATAAAACGCTCCTTTTTTTTAAACAGTAATTTAATGACGAGTATCTAATCAAATGAGAGAATGAATTAGTTTGAATACCTCTACTCCAACTAATAATAACCTATATATTATACATAAAGATGGACGGAAAGAGAACGGGTGAGGATTATCGTCCTTTTTGAAAATTTTAAAATTTTATTAATTCATCTCCTAATATACATTTTTGTGTGTGTTAATGATTATATGAGGATTATCATTTAATATATTATCTGAGAAGTAATTCTATAATCATTAGTATAATTGAAATGAGGTCAAGTCTCTCTTTTAAGCACATATTTTGAAAAATGAAAAATACAATAATTATATATTTGTCAATATTGATTGTGAAATTAATTTCCCATAGTTGAGTATTACTATAGTGTTTTTTATTTTCCCTAAATTTCTTTTTATTTATTGGAATAAACGGGTATTGAAACTTATGTGAAATAAAATATTAAATAATGAAAAAAATCAAACTTATTTATTTGGCTATGAAAACAATGTGCATGCACCTTACCTAATATATAAGCTTACGAAGTCAATTCCAATATCAACAGCTTTAAAGGGAAACAAAACAAACTGTTAGGAGTTAGCCTTCTTCTGTCGTTTTGATCATATTTTTTTTATTAAATAGAGATCTATTATATTTTTTAAATAAATATAAAATTTTAATTTAGACTAAATATGATCATATAAATATTTTTACTATTCAATCAATTAATAGAATTTGTATATTCAATATAATTTTGGTTTAATAATATTTTGGCTAATGTAAAAATAAATATTTAAATTAAGAAATATAAGAATTTATTAAATATTTAATAAAGCAGGGGTCGAACTATGGAAGAATAACCCCATATTCTCAAATTTTTGATCTAATAATAATTCAGATCATTGTAAGTTTAAATATTACACAAATTAAGTGTTATATTGTGAATTTTAATTTTTTAATATAAACCTAAGGTGAATACAAAGTAACATCTGTACATAGGGATGGCAATGGGTCGGGTCGGGTCGGGTTTTTGGGCCACCCGACCCGACCCGAGAAGAAGGGGTTTTTCACCCGTGACCCGACCTGACCCGAAGAAATTAAGGTTTCACCCGACCCGACCCGAATATATGACTTAGAAACCCGACCCGACCCGACCCGACCCGAAATAATAATAATAATAATTTTATTCAATGAAAATAGTGACTTAATTGAAAAAAATTATATATGGAGGAACATTATTGTAATTATCCCTAAATATATAGGATAAAATTATATATATATTTTCGGGTCGGGTCGGGTCGGATTTTTTTCACCCTAAACCCGACCCGACCCGACCCGAACAGTACATTTAAAAAAACCCGACCCGACCCGACCCGAACCCGAATTTTTTTTTAAAAAATCCGACCCGATCGGGTCGGGTCAGGTCGGAACCCGTCGGATTCGGGTTGAGTTGCCATCCCTATCTGTATAAATACTCTTAATTATTTGACAATGAACGTTCATAACCTTACATGCGCAATGCTCGAACTCAAAACCTCAAAGATAACAATAATCCCTTAATCATTAAAGTCGCTTAGCTAATGTTGAATTATAAATTTAAATACCTAATAAATTTTTATATTTTTATTAAATAATCTAATATTTTATTTCCCGTCAACATTTAGTTCTACTCTTTCCCTAATTACTGATGTTCATGTTAAATATATCCAAATTTCGTTCCTTATATTCCTCTATCAGTCCTAATTAAGCCGGCCGGTTCACTGGTTTTTCTAGTTAGTTTGAAGCCAAGCTATCTCTATCTTATCCCCAACAGTTTTTTTTTTCTTTTTCTTTTCTCGATATCAACGTGTTCCCATTTTGAATTTAACCCTTATTTTCATTTATGTATCGAAGCAATTAATGGTGCCAGAACTACATTTTGGCAAGATAACAAGAAATGGAAACCATGAAGTCCAAGAATGGGAATTCACCTTTAATGATCGAAAATGAATGCAAAAATTTTCAGAAATTTATTGCATTGTTCAATCAGATCATACACTAAACAACATCAGATTTACATGCATGTATGCATGAATCTCTCGTGCATACATTCGGATTTGAAAAGGAAGAGGAAAAAAAACTAAATGTTGAGCTGAGGCTACGTACTCCACAGAGAACTTCTCCGGCAGAAAGACGGAGGGGAAAAAAAGGATAAAAATACTTCTAAAAAATTAAAAAAAGATAAAGAAAATGCTGGCCAATGAGGTGTCTCCGCGTGTTAGAAAACAACCTCACATATGTAAGAAACGAGCGAGCTGGCTCGGGTTGACGATGCCCGGTATGTGGGCCCCATCTTTCTTCAGCAAGCTCGCCACTTCAACGTACCTTCGGCGCTTCTCCTCCCTCGGCTCCGGCTTCTGTTCGACTTTTTCGGCTACGGATCTCTCGTTTAGATCCACATCTTCTCCGATTCCCCTACTGGATTCAGAGGCAGTTGGTGGCGGTCGTGCCGGGTCCCACGTTTGGCCGAACAGCGTCCCACGAGTGAGGTACTCGTGGGCCAGGTATCCAGCCAGAAGCTGGTTGGAGAGAACCGGCTTGGTGGCTTTGTCGGAGCCGGCTAAAGGGAGAGCCGGCTTGGGTAACTTTGTGAGTGGGGAGATTAGCCGTTTGAGGTCAAAATCATCTCTCTCTTTGCGCTTGTTGGAGGGCATGGAAACCCGACGTGGTGGTAACCGCATCGTTTTGGTGTTCATCATTCCACCCTTTATGGTACATGCCACGTCAGAAAAAATCTAATCTAAAATAAAAGATGGAATAATTTTCTTAAAGAAAAGAATAAGCAACCCTTATTTATTTAAAATATTTTTAAATAAGAAAAAAGAGAGTTAATTTGGTAAATAGTTAGCGAAAATGGCTAAGAGTAAAAAAGTGAAAATTACAAACAGTGACGGATAAAATTTTTAAAATAGTAAATACTTCAGAAACAGATTTCTTTTAAAAGATAAAAGAAAATTATTGAGAAAAAATTAAAAGAAAATGACAGTGGCCGGAATCTGGCTTTTAGTATAAAAGCGAAGAAAAGAAAGAGGGAGAGTGAATGAGAGAATTTCTTTAGAAGAGATACATTAAAAATGGTTTATAGGAAGGAAATGGCTGTATCATTGTATGTATTTATAGGAAAGGGGTTGAGAATTGGCCCTTGGGGTTAATGAAATTACAATATTACTATAATGATATTAAAATTACGAGATTATCCTCCAATCATATCACATGACCTTTTTATGCTGTTATTTTTATATACACATTTGATCATTTATGTTTTTCTATTATAAATTACTTTTTTTTTAATTTTATTAACATGGTGATTAAACATTTATTGTTAAATAGTTGAGAATATTTAGAATGTATATTATTTTGTGATCACTATTAAATTAATAAAAAATTTAACATAATAAATTAGTTTTATGAAAAAAATACATTGTAATATATATATATATATATATATATATATATATATATAACTTATTTAAGAAAAATAATTTAATAGAATTATGATTTTTAATTTAGCCGCGTGTAAAGGGAGAGTTAGGGCACAATTGAAGGGAGAAAGATTAAAGATTCTTGTTTAGCCACATAGGATTGGTGGGCAGTTTCTAGTTGTACAAGAATAGCAATATAATTAAGCGGTTCTTCTAAATATTTATTAGCAGAACGAATGGTTTTATTTTAAGATATATATTTCTAAAATTAAAAAAAATTATAAATTTTAAGAAACGGAAATATATTATCAATAGAAAATATATAAAAATTTAAAATTTATGCGGAGGACAATCGTCCCACCCACTCTCCTTTTAAGTCTATTCAGTATCTCCACTATATATTTTTATTAAATTCCTTAATGTTTTGAGTTCGAACAGCCTGTATACAAAGATGTAAACATTCATTGTTAAAAAATTAAAAATCTTTGTATATATATTATCTTATACTCACTTTAGAATTAACAAAAAATACATTCATTATATTATTGACATTTCACAAATATATTACATCAACATTTTAATTTTTATATATGATAATATATTCTCTCAAATACAACGATTCATCGATGATGAAGTAATTTATTTTCACATTATCCATTTCACTAGTTATTTTTCTAACATTCAATATCTAAACATACACAAAAACACCCAATCTTAATAGTTTGTAATATTCTTTTTAATATAATATCGATAAGAATGTATTTGAGGTATTTATACTCTCTTTTTTAAAATCATCAACGTGACTCTCGAATTATTTTTTCACTCAATGTGACTTTTAAATTTAGTAAACAAACGTAATATCACCATTTGACCAACGGTTTTTGTCATTGACTGTGATTGATGATATGACATGTGAGCTAAATTGATTTTTTTATTGAGTTTGAGGGTCCAATTAATTTTTTTTAAGTTCAATGCTTTATTTAGTTTTTTAGGAAAAAATATAAATATAAAATATAAAAATGTTTAAAAAATAAATTATTAAAAAATAAAAATATATTATTATTTTTACCTGGAATTTAAATTAAGTTTTATTTATATAAATATGAACTTGTTCATCTTGTACAAATTTTATTTTATATATTTGTTTCTAATAATCCTAAACTCTAAATGTCTTTCTAATTCGATTTCACTAATTTTTTATAAAATTAAATAAAATAAATATTATAAAGTTTTATAAGAAATAAAATTTAAAAGTTATAAATTAAATTTATGTATAAATTATAATGAAAATATATAATTAAAAAATATAAAAAATAGTATACAATTAAGAAAATTATTTTAGTGAATATAACATGATAGAGATAAGTAAACTTCACCTAAACTTGATCTAAAAAAATTAATAGGAAACTAGGTCATGGCGAAAATCGTTGGTCAAATGGTTACATTGGATTTATTTCTTAAGTTTGAGGGTCATATTGAATGCAAACATAATTCGAAAGTCACATTGATTTTTTTCAAAAGTACAAGGACCTCGTGTAACTTTTTGCCTATAATATGTAAATTTATTTTCTGGAGACAATTATTAACTAAAATATTTATAACATTAGAAAAATACAAATCATAATTTAATCAATATGTAGTACTCTTTGTCTCACCAAAATTATCTTTTATTAAATTTTTTGATCAATTTTGTTATTTTAATTTCTTATTAATAAAAATATAAAAATATTTTTAAAAAATAAATTAAATAATTTTTAAATATATATAATTTTTTCTATTTAAAATATTTATAATCAAAATTTAAAGGTAAATAAAAATAACTCTAATATGACGAAGAAAAATACATCTCTGAAAAATTAATCAGACTCGATCTACTTCTAATACCCCAAACAAACAAAAATTCCAGAAATGGGTGAAGCATTTACTAATTTGAATCCTGGACGTAATAACAATAGATTTTAAATCCACACAAAATTATTTGTTGATTATAGTTGTATGACTTTGATATAAATATGACATCTAAATACAACCAATTTCTTTACACATATAAACCCCCCGTAACGGAGAAGATTGAGTAAATCTATACTTTCTAATTGTATTAATTTGATCATCAATTCATTGAATTGTATCATTCCCGTCCTTTGATCATCATATATCATTGTTGACTGTTCCGATATTAATGTAAAAGCATGCTAATATGCTGATTTATTGTGATGACATTGATAGTCTATGGTGTTGGTGTGATTGTCCATGTGTGAATATTAAATTTACATTTAGGGTAAACTATGAGAATTGCCCCTTTTGTTTAGGGTCTGACTGACTTTGGTCACATGGCTGAGGGATTAAAATGGAACGGATCGATAACGTTAAGGATTAAAATCGAATGTATCGATAACATTAGGGATCATATACCCTTAATTTTTAAATTGGTGATCGAAGTCGGTCAGATTGAAAACAAAAAGGACTATTCGCATAGTTTACCCTTACATTTATTAGGATTTAATTATTCAATACTATTGCCAAACGTTTCAACCAATTGATATATGTTGTTAGCGCTGCATCGGCCTTCCAACACTCATGGGAAGAGGAATTTGGATGAACAGAGCGTGCATGGTTGTTCGCTTCATTTTTTGTAGATGATTTGCTCGTGCATGCAAGTTTTTCGGATCGAATCTACGATTATTTATCGGGAAGGACCAACGTTTGGGGTTAGTTTTGGGAAAATGTTTGGGGGTAAGAGTAGTGGTTTTGACTTTTGTAGGAGAATTCTTTATCCTGAGGTTTGTCCATGCTCATTGCATCAATTGTCAACGGAAACAAATTGGCCTCATCAACTGTTGGCAGTTCACCTCGTCTGAATAAAATCGAAAGTGACTAAATCTTAATTGAATAAAAACAAAGGTGACTAAATCCATTAAAGTTCTTACTTAAACACTAGTGACCATTTGTGTAATTTAATCTTTTTAATTTTCTGAATCCATTGTACCACATCATCAATCCGTTAAAGGTCTAACGACAATTAACCTTCTGTGACCACATCTTAATTAAATAAAAACGAAAGTCACAAAATATTATTTTTTAAAATACAATGAGAAAAAAAATATAAAAGTTAAACAGAAGTAATCAATCATGTAATTTCCCCTAGATATATTTACCAAATATATATCCCATAATACGCTGGCAGCAAAAAGAGCTCATGGTAGGTATGGTTCATACTTAATACAGGTTGGTATTCGGTTCTCCAAATGTTATTCGAATATTAACTTTATATTTAATAGTATCACTAAACGTTTCAATCAATTGATATGTATTATTTTAGTTTAATTAAAGTTTTGGGTTTAAGTATTTGAGAGTATAATAAAATTAAATAATCGATGGAAAAATTGCATTATTCTTATAATTTATTTGATTTGAAAAAAGCTATTTTTATTTAAATTATTGAATAGATAAATAAAAATATTTAATATTATTATCTACCGAAATTCAGTATTAGTTAATTAGATATACTAAATTTCAAGGTTTTATTTTTATTTACTCAAACTAAAGATTCCAATTCTTTTAGAAAAATAAACTTTCATAAAAACAATTGGGAAAAACACACAAATGATCCCCTAGTTATAAGACACTAGTTTATCAAGTCCCCAAAATATTGAAAGTTATAAAATAGTATCCGATCATAGGTTTGTTCTTTGTTGAGTCCCGACTATTAAATTTATAAAATGATCATCCGATTATAGGGCGTTGTTTTTTTGAGCTCTCCTGACTATTAAAAGTTACAAAATGATCACTTGACTATTTATATGTTCCAAACTCGTCATTTTTTGTTAAAATTTGACGATCCTTTGTGTTGGACGTTAACATGTTGACTGAGATACAGTGAAATTTGATCCTAGAATCTAAAATGACTATATAACTGTTATTTGATCAATTTTTATCATATCTCAGTCAACAAATTAACTTCCAGCTCAGACAACCGTTAAATTTTTTAATGAAAAAAATCAAATTTGAAATATATGAATAGTCGAGTGATAATTTTTTAACTTTTAATAGTCGATAAACTCAACAAAGTAACGCCCTATAGTTAAGGAATTATTTTATAACTTTTAATAGCCAATGGACTCAACAAAACGACACCCTATAGTTGATGGATTATTTTGTAACTTTTAATAATCAAGTGAATCAACAAAACAAGATCTTATGGTCTGGGAACCATTTGTGTACTTTACCCAAAACAAATTGAATCTATGGTTTGCTTAATAATCAAAGCTTTTTCGATGTTTTCAATACTTACAATTTAGACGATGAAGACCGACCAAGCAGGAGGCTCACATGAGCCATATTGCCATTTTCCCCCTTTCTTAAAGATCAAAACAAATTGAGTACACTTGAATAACGCATCTTTGTCCTTTAAGTGTATAA